AAAAAAAAAAATATATATATATATATATATATATATATAATAAAGAATGATATGGTAAAAAGGTATTAATTGTATAATATTAAAAAGCTTTTCGATTGTAATTAGATGGTAAAGTTATTCACATTACAAAGGATAAGAATTCATATGAGAAAAAAAGTTAAACGAATAGATATGGATAATGACAAACATTTTTGCCCAATTGGTCAATAATATATCATTTGGAAAAAGAGTACACTCATATTCACAGGCAACAACTAAACAGTTAAAGGTGAAGACCCGCATTTCTAGCATAAAATGACAAATCTAAATAACATGTTATGTCCACTAAACACACACAGAGCATAGAATCCCCCTCATTATATATAAAAGGGCAAACATCTGCATGTGGAAACTAACCCTTCAGACTGAACGGCCACAGAAGATATAATATAACTATATAATTAAGTTTTGCCACATGAATATTGTCCATGCCCTATAATTAACCAGAAAGTTCTTAGTGTGTGAGCTTCAACCATGGACCCAAGAATCTCCTTCTCCTATGATTTTGTGGTTCCCCAACAGGCAATCAAGCATGAAAACATTTACAGAGAAGATCCCGTCTCTTCAGATTTTGAATTCTCTGTCAAGAACAATTCCATGATATCAGCAGATGAAGTCTTTTTCCAAGGTATGTTGTTGCCTCAGAAGAGTGATGACTGCTCCAAGAAGGTCACCTTAAGGGATGAGTTGCTTGTTAATGATGATGATGAGTTACCAAGATTACCAAAGGGTTCAAGCCGGTGGAAGGAGCGATTAGGACTCAGGAGGGTTTCATCTAATAAGAAAGATAAGAACAAGAATCATGGTTTTCATCAGAGAGTTGCTGATGAAAAAGGGTTTACTATTGGACAAGGAGACAAGACTGTTAGCAAAGACAATATGGTAAGTTTTTAACATCTCTTCTAAATCTTTGTTTACCTTTTTTACCACTTCATGTGATCTGTTACTTAATAGAAACTTTACATGTATACATTCGATCTTAATGAGTCCTTTCTTATCACAGGCCTAGGAATTGTTTTATGAAGGTGGTGTATAAGTTGTAGGGGCAAGTGAACTTTATAGGAGCATGCAGCATTCATTCTCAAGTAGGGGATGGTGGTTTCTACTAATATCTAAAGACATTAATTGTTAGAATTTTGGGCTGACTACTTTTTCAACAGTTAAGTTAAATTTAACCTAGTTAATTATTATGTTCCCCATCTTTGTAGTAGTAAAACGGTAGTACCTCGAGCATTTTTATCTTTGTACAAAAATTTGTAGTTGAAGAATTTCCATGAGTCTATGAGTGTTTTTCTGTGTAGTACATCAGGTAGTTGTGTTGTGACCCTTGTTCGATATATAGTGAATTGCTAGTTGTTATTATTATTAGTCCCTGTGTAGTTTGTCAAACATCTTATTCCCTTTATATATACTACTTTTCTAAGCAAGTTCTTTTGATATATTCTTGGCTTTAATTTGATTTTATCTGAGCGAGTTTCTTCCTGTCTTATTTTTTCTCTAATTGGGGGAGAGGGGTAAAGATAAACGACGAACTTAAGAGAAAAAAGCAACATCAAGAGGAAGAAAATGTTTGGATACAACTTCTAAACTTGTATAAGTTTAGAACGGTTTTTAAGAAATTCTCAACTAGAAAATACAAGCTAGTTGAAAGGCTTGTATTGTTCAAAAAACAATTGAACAAATAAAAACTGCCTTATATAAAAATTTGCAGCGGCAAAACAGAAACTAAAGGATTCCCCCGTAAACAATCCGCTTTTAATGTCCCATTTCTCCATTCAGTTCGTAACTCTTGTTCACACATTTTTGACAAAACTATATATACAAGGTTGCTAGTATAAGAATAACGACACATTACATATGGAAAAAACGAATAACAATTAACAAGTATTCATCTGGACTGATTTCACTAATTGGGTAAAGTTGGCAATGATCCCCTTGTTAGACCAAGAGTTCTTCAACATCTCAGACCTAAATATTGGAGTGCAATACTCTCTTGCAGTACAAAAGCCGAATATATATCACCCGATCTTGGATATTCTTAGAAAGAGTAAAACTGCTAATAAAGCCCACCATTAAAAATAATTGTTAATCATTAGATTTTATAAAGTAAAAAGTCGTATGTTAACGAAAATGTTTAATATATTAATAAAAAGACTTGACATATATTTTTCTCATTCAAAGAAAAAATTTCTTTCAAAATATACTTTAAGACTTAACATATTATTTCCTTGAAGTTAAAATTGATGTTTTATCGAAATAACCTGACATATAGTTGCAGTGTTTTGAACATAACATATCTTGGATTGTAGAAAATGAAACAATATGCCAAAATTTTATAGAAAAATTCATCTATTATTTTCACGAAGACGCCTTGGTTAAATTTCCACATTGTAGACACGGTTATTCTCATGAGCATGATGCATGCTTAGCCCTTTTTGTATGTGTTTTTTGTGTTAGGCTTTTTTTTTCTTACATTAGCCTCTTAGGTCCTCAGGTTTTTTTTCTTCGGAAGGTCCTTATTTTGGTACGACCACAACACCGAGGGAAACTCTAAAGAAAAGTGTAAGCACAAGGATAAGGATTAAGACGATTCACCTATTTTCCTTCTTTCCAATTTGAATATTTCTTCTATTAAGGTCTTTCTTTAGTTTATGGGACTGGAAAATGTCTTTGATATATTAATAATTTCAAAATATAATTAACTTTTTTCCTTTTCGCTAATGTATGAATTCCTTTTGGTTTGATTCTTATTGAGCATATATTCATATGAAATATGTATGATGGTTTACAAGTACTCCATGTGTTTGTCTATGTTAGTCACGTTACCATATTTGGAAATAGCAATAATGCAATCCAATAAACTTTTAAACAATATAATTGAGTGCTTATCTTTCATGTAAAATACTTTTTGGAATCTTGAAATATCTGTTAGGAATAAAGGTGGCTCAAACTTCTACTGAATTTATTTTATTCATTCATACTAAAATTTTGTGAACATGAATATGCATTAGACATTATCTCTAAAGTTAGTTTTTAGGAGTTAGCATATTAGTTTTTCACTTTAGTAGATAATGATTTGACTACTAAAAGATTACATCTTGACTTAGAACATTATCGCTGCTTGATATAAGAATAATGATTTATCTTTATATTATGAGACCAAAATCCTTTATTTTGTACATATTCTTACCCAATTCTAGAGTTCTCACTAAAAACATTAGGATATATATTGCTCTTTACATCATGCATTTCTTGTATAGAAACCCTAGACAAGGGTTATATAGTTGTACATCAATTGTGAGTTGCAATTGAATGGTTGATGTGATTCAAATTGGCCAAGATGTCTCTTGACTAGGTGGTCTCTTACCAACTAATTTGTTCAGCTTGCAGATTCGCCTATTTTTTGGAAAACCAAGAAACAGCATATAGTGTTTCGTTTTAGCTAAAGCAAAATATCACTTTATGACTACTACGACCTTTGAGATAAAATTGTTAAAAGGATTGATAAAATGTCTCGGATAATCATTCCAAGCCTATGAAGCTTTATTGTGACAACTAAACTACCATACACATTATTGCTAATCTAGTTTTTCATAAGCGTAATAAAAACATTGAAGTTGACCACCGTGATAGGTTTTTATATGGACCATAATTTTTAACCATCAGATTTATCTGACCCTAATAAATTATATTTACACTAACCATGCTAGATTATTTCTTCCCTCTCTCCAACTTCCCTCCAGCCCTCAGAATATGGCGTCAGCGGCAATAGTTGTGTCGAAGCAAACGATTTGTATACGCTATGACGTCTATACAATTGCCACCAAATCTACATCCAATTCTCTTTTCCACTTTCTTCATCTTTATCTCTCTTCATCATTTATGAGTTCTTGTTTACTTATTCAATTTGAACGCTTCTAACGCAAAGCAGAAGGTTAATTAGTGCACCCGTGAGGTGATAACTTCTATGAATTTTACCGTACAGCTTATATTTTAATAATTTTTTATATAAGTTTCTACTCTCTTTTTTTATACAAAATATGAAGAATACAATTACGAAAAAAACCCTAACAAAATTAAAATAGATCGAAAACGTAACTGTTAGAGATTGGGAGGCTGTTTTTATCAAATGAATCGGATCTTTTTTTCAAGGATCGATTGATCTGACTTTAGCCCTTCAATTTAAGTGTTAGCCATGCAATTTGGGAAAAAAGGGAAGTCATACAACACACATTTTGCATAAGGTGGTCAACGCAAAACAAAAGGGTGATTTCAATCAACTGCTCTGGACAAGAAAAGGTTGAACTCAGGGCTGCTTTGTGTTGTGCAGAACCAGTGCTTAATTGACCATTAATGCCCCTTTCACTTAACACTTAAATTTTGATAGAGCTGGTCATACCTTGTAATTTTCTTCCACTCAGTACGAACTATTTATTCAATGATGTATACTGCTCCTTCTGCTTATGTGGAACTTTCTATGGGAAACGGTCAATGACACGACCAGCGGAACCCAACAACAAAAAACCCAACTCAAAGGCTATCAACAACTTCCCTATAGGTCTTCTTCCCAAGAGTGCCCGACCTCCCTTTGACTGTTATGATGGTGTTCACTTTCGCCTCAACACGGCCCACAACTCATCCATCATGCTTTATGTTCTACAAAAAACAGACACACCCAATATCTTTATTGGGACGAAACACAGACAAATACGTAAATTCATTTATAACACCACTAAATTATAATTCTCAATATTTCTACCGATATTGGTAAATGGTAATTGATGGTACATCCATCCATGTACCACGACACACTACTTTAAAATGATATCTCACCGATATACTACTTAGCAAACCGCTTAATGTTAGAATTTCTCATTCAATTTTGGCATTTGAAATTGCAAGACAAGGTTATTGCTTTTTAGGACATTAATCCATCCACTTTCAAGTACACAATTCATCATTTGAGTCTCAATTCGAAGTGATACATTGCATCATTTTAAGAAGAAAAAAAAAAAAGACTGACAGTTTTACTTGTAATTTTAAATAAATATATATATATATCTATATATATACTGTTTATAAAATAAATAAAACATTAAAAAAATTTATTAAAAAGGAAAATTTTATCCTCCCAATTGTTTACTTTCAAAAAAGCCAAATCCGCATCTTGCATTAAAAATAATCAGAAACTTGCCTTACTATTACTAATACCACACTTCCAAACAGAATAAGTTCAACAAAGCACATCTATTCAGTAAACGCATTACTAGCAAATCATGATTTTCGTTGTAAAACCAAAATTCAAATGAGGCTTTCTAGTATGGTCGAGAGCCAACAAGTAATAGAAATCTGATATAAATAGTACCTATTCAGCATAAAGTTAAAAACTCGATTATTTTACACTAATCAGCGATTAGCAACAAATAAGTACTTCATTATTGTTATTACATGGGGAAAAAATTGCTGGCAATCATTGGCAACATATAGTTACTACATCATGGAGAGACTGCATTATCAACAGTTCTGGTACTAACCACAAAGTAAAATTAAAATATTAGACACTGCTGAGTATTAAACACGATACACTATTTACAACAAATAAAGGCAATATACATAAATATCAAGGTTTTCAAAGAATGATATTATATTATTATGTACATCTAACTAAACCAATGGGGTCATCATACCTACAATGACATCCGTTTGAATAAGAATATGATTAACAAGCACCATCCATATTTACAGTATATACAATTACTCTGAATCTCCGATAGAAAAGAATCAGCTGACTGGTTCTGTTACTGTACATCTGCAGCCAATGCACATATTCAGAAGTGGGAAATGAGACAAATTACACTTCAAGAATAAATAAGAACTCAATTTACAGCATAAGACAGACAAGTCACAGATCCTCAGATGATTTTATTACCCAAGTAATATTTCCAAAACAACGTTCAGGAATCAATGGTTATTGCCAAAAGGTATCGCACACATTTAACTAAAGTTGATACATGATGAGAATAATAGAAAAATGAAATGTTAGTTTGATAGCACCTATCATATCTAGCTACGAAACTCAAAATTAACAAGCCAAAGATTCTTTTTATATACTTAACTTCAATTGATAAAGTACATTTTTTCTTATCTTCTACTAGCAAAGGAGACCCAACTCACATGATAAACAGGAGACTGCCCGGCAAATTGAAAAAAGCTCTTCTGAATCTGCTTGATCAGGGAAGCGAGAGTATCAACTAGTCAATCTCATTAATCTGCATGGGGTTAAGAAAATATTTAATGTTGAAATTATGGCGTCATTTTAGTAAGAAGACATTAGAGTATGCCACTAATGGCACCATTAATCAGCCTTCTTCCCAGGGTTTTGTTGGACAATATTTCTCCATGGACTCCTTTTTACGT